CACCACTACGTTTCCTGGACACGAACGGTTCGATGTCTATACCGAGGCTGCCACTAGTGCCCCTCTTACCACGTTCCCCCGAGACCCCGTGTCTAGCCTGTTCACGTTGGACACAGCGTCCCCCCAGGTCGTCGCGTCCACTTAGGTAGCTGCAGCCTGCTCGTGTCGATCGCTCACCCACCCTTCCTTGCTGTGGCACCACCGTATAGGTCACCCCGCTCTGCCGCGCCTACGTCATATGTCCCATAATGGGCTTGTCCGTGGTCTCCCTGCATCGCTCCCTGCCCTCCTTCCCTCGCCTGCGCCGCCTTATACGACCTGCATCGAGGGGCAGCTGCGCCGTGCTCCCCACTCCTCCTCGCTCCCCTGTACCACTGCGCCACTCCAGACCCTGCACCTCGATGCTTGGGGTCCCGCCCCTGTCCCTGGGCCGCATTGTGAGCGCTACTTCCTAGTGCTTGTCGACGACTTTACGTGCTACACCACGGTGTTTCCCTTTTAGCAGAAGGCACATGACGCCCTTATCTCGTGGGTCACCGCGAATCCACCGCGGCCTCCTCGTGCTGCGTCTCCACTCCAACCGCGGCGGCGAGTTTGCCTCTGGTCGGCTTGGCCAGTTCTGTCGTGCGGAGGGCATCACACAGTTGCACACCCTGCCGGACTCCCCGCAGTAGAATGGGGTCGCTCAGTGACGCAAATGTTTGGTCATGTAGGTGGCTCGTACCTCCATGATCCATGCTGGTGCACCCCATTTTTTGTGGCAATTCGCGGTTTGCTACGCCGCTCACCAGCTTAACCTGTGGCCTTACTCCCAGCGGCCGCAGGTTTCGCTGACCCTTCTCTGGACAGGGTTCCTTAGTGACGCGAATGTGTTACACGTCCGGGGCTGCCTTGCTCACATTTGTGCCTCTGGCACGAACAAGCTCACTGCCCGCAACGTCCCTTGTGACTTCCTTGGTTTCCCCCTCGACGCATCTGACTGGAACTTTTACCTCCCGCCGTCTCACCGTTTCTTTCACTTCCGTGGCGTCACTTTTGACAAGTCTGTCTCTTTCTACACCCGCTTTCCCCATCGAGGTCTCCCCGTTGCCCCGCCCCTCTTTCTGGTCCCCACTTCCCCGATAGCCCCTGCTCCTCTTCCTCCCCGTCCTGCCCCGTCCGGTGTGTCTCACGTCACTCCCCTCCCGTTGGTTGTCCCGGTCGAGGAGCCAATAGACACTGGGGGCCCCGCGGCTTTGGTGTCACTGCTTGTCTCCGCCCCGGTGTCCCCTCTGCCGCAGCCACAGCAGCAGTCGTCGCAACCGCAGCCGCCATCGCTGCCGCCGCAGCAGCAGCCGCCGCAGGGGTCCGCGCGCTTTGGGGGTGCAGGCATTGAGGAGGGTGCTAGTCCTGGGGATACTGTCGTGGCTTGTCCTGGCGGTCGAAGGGGTGGCACCGGTACTGGAGAGCGTTCTCGTTCTGGGGGTGTTGGTTCTGGGGGTGCTAGTCCTGGGGTTTCTGTCATGGCTCGTCCCGGCGGTGGCACCGGTGTTGGAGAGGGTTCCCGCTCTGGGGGTGTTGGCGTGGAGTGTCCCGGAGGTAGCTGAGGTGCAGCTGGAGGTTCTGGTGTCGGCGTGGAGCAGCAGCAGCAGCAGTCGCCACCGGTGTACGCCATTCGCCTCTTCGGTCTTCCCTCCCCTAACCGCTAGCCTGCGCCTCCCAACCTGTCTACGGTCCTGTGTTTCCTCTGCCGGACTCGTCTCCGGCTTGTTTTCCCCCGTATTCTCCTCCTGTGTCTCCTCCTGTATCTCCTAACCCCACGCCTCCATCCTACTTCTGGTCTCGTCGTCCCTCTCGTGCTCGTCCTGTCTCTCTTGTCCAGCGACCCCACGCGTCTCGTCCTCCCCTCCTCCCGTCACCTCCTCCCTCGTCACAGGCTGTCGCTCCGCCTCCTCTATTTGAATTCCTCCGTGCTGCCAGTCCTCTTGTTCCTCGGGTCCACCCCTCTCCTGTTTCCGACCCCTCTGTTCCTCTCTCTAGTCTTGACGCTCGTGTCGCTGCCGTCAAAGACTTTGCCGCTACCCGCGGCCTTGACTACGCCACCGCTCTGGTCTCTAACCCTACCAATCCTCCATCCATAGGGGGTGAACCTGCCCTTGGCAGTGACGTCCTAGAGCACAGGCAGTTCGAGCTAGCTTTCCTGTCCGACGTCCCTCCTTATCTTTGCTCCATGTAGCTAGTCCCTGAGGGTGACGCAGAGGCTCTTGACATCCCGACCCCTCGCACTTGGGCTAAGACGACCGCCGGACCCTGGGCCTCTCAGTGGATAGCTGCCATGGACGTGGAGATGGCATTTTGGAGATCCACCGGCACCTACGTTGACACAGTTACCCCACTTGGGGTGAACGTAGTCGATGGCCGGTGGCTCTTCAAGGTGAAGCGCCTTCCAGGAGAGTCGCCGGTGTTCAAGGCGTGCTACGTTGCTAGTGGCTTCAGTCAGCGCGAGGGTTTTGACTTCTTTCAGACCTTTGCCCTGAACCTGAAGATGACCACTCTTCGAGGCTGCTACACGCAGCAGCACAACGTGACTACGAGCTTCACTCGCTCGACTTCTCGACAACATTTCTTCAAGGCAGTCTGCACCAGCAGGTGTACCTACGTCGCCTGCCAGGTTTCACCGCACCTTCGCCTCGGGGACCCAGTGGCTCCTCTGGTGCCCGGTTTACGGCCTGCGGCAGGCCCCCCGTGAGTGGCACGATACGTTGCGTGCTACGTTAGCTGACATGCAGTTCTTGCCGTCGTCTGCAGACCCCTCGCTCTTTGTTCGTTCTGGCCAGACTTCGTTCTACATCCTTGTCTATGTAGACGAATTGGTCTTTGCTACTGCAGACAGAGACGCACTGGCCTCCGTGAAGGCTGAGCTATTGAGGAGACACACCTGCACTGACCTAGGAGAACTGCGCCGCTACCTTGGCCTGCAGATCTCGAGAGACAGAGCAGCGCGCACCATCACTCTTACACAGTCACACTTGGTGCGCCAAGTCCTTCAAAGGTTCGGTCGTCAACTCTCCTCCTAACAGCCCACACCTCTGCTGGTACATCACAGCCTCTTGGCTCCAGTCCCTGAGGAGTCTGTAGAGCCTAGTGGTCCTTACACAGAACTGGTGGGTTGCCTCATGTACCTGATGACTTGCACTCGTCCAGATCTCGCATACCCTCTCAGCATCCTGGCTCTCTTTATGGCCATAGGCAGACACCGACCACAGCACTGGTCACCCGCTGAGAGGGTTTTGCGTTATCTAGCAAGTACATCGGGCATGGGGCTAGTGCTAGGAGGACGCCGGCCAGTGGTCCTTACAGGGCACACAGACGCTTTGTGGGTGGACGACGCTGTGACAATCAGGTCTTCCCAGGGCTATTGCTTTTGCCTTGGTGCAGGTGCCATCTCGTGGAGGTCCACCCGCTCGTCGTCTGTTGCCCGGTCTAGATGTGAGGCTGAGATCTACGCTGGTGCCATGGCGGTACAGGAGCTGCGTTGGCTGACTTTCTTGCTGACAGACTTAGGTGAGCGGCCTAGTTCTGCCCCGGTCCTGTACGCTGACAACAGGGCCATGGTCCTCCGTTGTCAGGAGCCTTGACTAGAGGGTAGAGCGAAGCACATTCAGCTGCGGTACTTCCTCATGTGCGAGCTACAGCAGCGCCGCTAGGCCCGCGTAGTACACTTGGCCTACAGTGCCAACACAGCTGATATCTTTACGAAGGTGCTTACGCCTAAAGATCATCAGCGGCACTGTGTACAGCTTGGTCTAGTTCTCGTAGCTTCTCACTTGCTAGGACCTTGATTGTGTACCTCTTCTTATACAGTTTAATTTTGACTGGCCTTGTGGCTCTTGTTCCAGTGGCTGGACTAGTAATGCCGCCGTGGATTACTCTTGTTTAGTTTGTACTCTTGCTGACTACTCCTTGGACCGTTGCCTCAGAGGTTGGACTAGTAGTGCCACCCTGAGTTGCGTGTCTCTTATCAGGCACTGCCCCTCCTCTAGCCTAGGGGGTGTGTCAAAGCATATATGTACATGTCTTATATGCTAGATAGGTGTGTACTTTTAGAGAGTACAACCCCGTAGCACAAAGGCACCTTGTATGTCTCATTCTAGTCAACTTGCTAACTCTGAGATAGGTTACATAGTTGTACGATCAAAACAAGCCCAGTGCTAGGATATAGTTCCAGATATGGTAGATATGGGACATATGGTGGGAACTTGGGCTCGGAGGAGCGCACTCGACAAGCACAAACTGGCCAAGTACATGAAATGGCAGGTGGATCAGCAGAGGTCACGTTTGGGTGGTGCGGTTTGGCTAGATTTGATTAATGTTCTGTACTCTTTATTCAACTAATTCTAGAAGGGAATATGCTTCATTATATTTTTATACTAGTTTGTGCACCTATGCAACAACGATGCAGCAGGCAGTGTACTGACGAAATAAGTTCGAGCCGCCTTCATTTTGCTGCGGCCCCCCACACAAGCTCTTTCCTCTACAAGCATGCGCCACGCGATTAGGGAAGGTGTGACTTGTTGCTGGTGAAGGTCGCAGCGGCTCCCACGTTGTTCAGCGCTGCTTGCTTCACTCTCGCAGGGAAGACGCCAACCGCAGTTCCCCCTCTACCTCCTCACCAGCTGCGCATGGCGCAACCTGGCGCACGCAGGCAACCTTCCCACCCCCTGCCTGCTGTGTGAAATGACTTCAGGTTACCAGCGTGAACACGTTTGCAAAGTTCTGTAAACCTAAGGAACCTCACCTCACCTCTCATCGACGTCAATTTAGCTTAAAGCCCAGATATCAAATGACCTCCGATTTACCTTGTACCCTGCGCAATGCTTGCGGTGCGGACCGGTACCTGCCACACCATGCACCCTCCCCCAATCAAGCCAGCCCTCCTACTTCCCTACTTGCGCGGACAGCCGCATGGGTCAAGGTATACACTGGTGAAGTGCATTGAGAGGGGCCTGACCTGATGCTTGCACTCCAGCCCGCCACAGCGCACGAAGTCTCACAGCACTTGAATGCTCGCAGATGAAGCAACTACGGCTGCCCGCACGGCTTCACGTCTCGTCACACTCACCAGCAGTAATCCGTCCCTCGGCTGTAGCTCTCGACTTGCGTCGCGACTCAGCAGGCTGTGTAGCATCCCAACACGGAACACCAACGGCCGCGAGCTCATTAGCTAGCTTATCGCAGTTTTGGCTCATTAGTTTTGGTGGCCCGCCACTCGATCCCTGCACCTCTGCCTTGCCTCCCCTCCGCGCCCAGTTACCAGCTACCAGCTAGTAGTAGTATCTTTCTCAGTAGTATCCTCTCCCCCAGTGTAAGCCATGAAAATCCGTAGCTTGTCCCCCGGCACTCGGCGCGTCCCCTCGTCTCACAGCCATCTACATTGCCGGTCCTGACTCTCCCCCCGTCGCGCCTTTCCCTTCACCTTCCCCCTCGTCTTTCTCCCCCCCCCGCTCAAAACTGCACAGCCGTCCACCCGCCTCCTCCTTTCCTCGTCGCGCAATGGCGTATTTCCTGCCGTGGGCGCACGGCAGCAGCCGCGAGTTGTATCCCGAGAAGCACGCAGCGGGGCACGTGCTCTCGCGCGTCGCGCAGGTGCTGATCCTACTCGCCGGTCTCACCGTGGTCGCGTGGTGCGCCTTGGCCGGGCGTGATCCCAGCCTCTCTACTCTCCTCGCGGTGTCCGTCACATTAGACGCCGCCACTTTTAACAGCGGTAGCAGCAGCAGCAGCATCAGCAGCAGCGGCAGCAGCAGCGGCAGCAGCAGCGGCAGCAGCAGCGGCTGCAGCAGCGGCTGCAGCAGCGGCAGCAGCGGCAGCATCAGCAGCAGCGGCAGCAGCAGCAGCAGGGGCGGCAGCAGCAGCAGCAGGGGCGGCGGCGGCGGATATTCCGTCGCTGTCCCCGCCATGGCTAGCAGCAGTGGCGGCGGCGGTGACCAGGAGCTCGCCCCACCCGCCCCGCCCGCCTCCATTCCCGGCTCCCGCCTCACTTCCCCTGTCGCTGTTCGCACATTCTTGCGCCGATTCGCATGCGTCAACGAGAAGGGCACGTGGCAGCTTGACAACACGCCACGTTTGTTGCCGTGGTCCGTCGCAGGCGAGTATGGCGGGTGGCAGTGCGACGGGAAGTGGCTCATGGACGATAGAGCCGCGCGCACCACCCATCCATTCCTCGCAGCTGTTCCGCCCAGCGCCGGTACAAGCCCCCCCCGTGCCGCCAGCGCATCCGCCAGTCCAACGAGTTCGCCGCTAGGGCAAGCTCCGCCTTTCGCGTCGTCGTCTTTCCCGCCTCGCAAATTGCTTTCCGTCGACGACCTTTCACCCATGGCTGGCTCTGGTAGCGCTGCTGACGTGGACGATGAGGATAGGGATGAAGCAGCAGCCGTGGATGAAGCTCTTGCTGCCAGCGGTGAGCCAACAGCAGCTGATACAACCCCCAACGGGAATGCGCCCTCCGCTGCTGCCGGTAGCATCACGTTGGCCGGAAAGACGGCAGGTGACCGCAGCAGCAGCAGCGGCGAGTACCGGCACGTGGCGTTCGCGGATGCGAACAGGGTGGTGAGGGAGGGCAGGGCGGAGGAGTGGCAGGTGCGGCCCTCGGTCAAGTACAGGTGGCGGTTGCCCGCAGGCGGAGCGGAGGGGGAGTGTGGAGTGGCGTGGAGGGATGTGAACTGCGCGCAGCTGGCAGCGGGGCTGACCAAGGGGCGGGGGAAGATTCTCCTGGCGGGCGATTCGCTGAGCTCGCTGACCTACCTCTCGTTCCGCAACCACATGAGGATGTGCTCCGAAGCAGGGGCTGCGGGCGGCTGGGCGACACACGCAGGGCACACGGGTAGCGCTAGCGTGACTAGCAGTAGAAGCAGGGCTAGTGGCGATTCAGGGGAGGGGGCTGGTGATGACAGTTTCGCCAGAGGGTCGAATGGCGAGAGTGACAATGGCAAAATCGCTAGAGGAAATGGAGCGATGGTGAGTGATGACATGAACGGGCCGCCTCTGCCAAGCGAGATGGAGGAGTCAAAGTTGGCCGTGTGCACGGCAGAGGTTGAGCAGTCGGTGATGCGCAACATGCACAACCACGTGCTGTGCGACTCCGTCACATACGGCAACACCACCGTCACCATCGTGCGCAATGACGTGCTCCACACCAAGCACGTGCGCCAGCTCAAATTCCCTAAAATGATCTCCTTCCCCTGGTTCAAAGCTGTCCTTCCTGGGAGTGGCACTGCCGTGCTTGTGCTGAACCGCGGTGCTCACTATGTCGAGGATGATGAGTTCACAGAACAGCTAAGCGTGACACTTACCAAAGTGCGGGAGGCAGCACCGGAGCTGTTGATTATCTACAGGAGCACGCCTCCTGGGCATGTTCACTGTGAGAACATCACTGCCCCTCTGAAGGAGCCGCAGGACCCAGCGTCGTTGCCGTTTCATTGGGGGGACTTTGGCAGGCAGAACAAGATTGCGAAGCAGATGGTGGAGGCTGTTGGAGGCGTGTTCATGGATGTAAATCCAATCACCGTTTTGAGGGGGGATGGGCACATGAGTCCTCCCACAGATTGCCTTCACTATTGTCTTCCTGGCCCACTAGACGCGTGGATACAGCTGCTGTACAATATGCTGCTTGAGTTGGTATAGCTAGGCAGGCTTTCTTTGTTGCTGCCCCCGGCATGCGCATTGTACCAACGTTGGCTCAGTTTATAGTGTTGCAATGGTTACACAAATAGATGGTTTCTTGTGTTAACGTAGAAACGAATGATTACTAGAGGTGGAAACCTAGAACAAATACTAGTTGGTTGTACTCACTAGAAGCATACCTCAGTCTAGCCTATAACTTCTACATAGATAATATGTATAAGTTGACACACCCCCTAGGCTAGACAAGGGGTGAAACTAAACAAGAAGCAAACAGCTCAGGGCGGCACTACTAGTCCAACCACTGAGGCAGGGGTCTGGAGACCAGTCAGCAAGAATACAACCAAAACTGAAGCAAGCCAGGGTGGCACTACTAGTCCAGCCACTGGAGGTAAGGCCACAAGGCCAGTCTGACAAGCATATATAATAGAGAGTACACAATCAGGATCCTAACAGGGGAGCAGCTATAGGAACAAGACCAAGCTGTACACAGTGCCGCTGATGATCTTTAGGCGCAAGCGCCTTAGTAAAGATATCAGCTGTGTTGGCACCTGAGGCCAAGTGAACTACGCGGGCCTGGCGGCGCTGCTGTAGCTCGCGCAGGAGGAAGTACCGCAGCTGGATATGCTTCGCTCTGCCCTCAAGCCGAGGCTCCTGACACAGGAGTATCATGGCCCTGTTGTCAGCGTACAGGACCGGGGCAGAGCTAGGCCGCTCACCTAAGTCTGTGAGCAAGAAGGTCAGCCAGCGGAGCTCCTGTGCCGCCATGGCACCAGCGTAGATCTCAGCCTCACAGCTAGACTGAGCCACAGACGACGAGCGAGTGGATCTCCAAGAGATAGCACCCGAACCAAGGCTGAAACAGTAGCCCTGCGACGACCTGAGCGTCTCAGCGTCGTCTGCCCAAGAAGCGTCTGTGTGCCCAGTAAGGACCACTGGCCTGCGTCCTCCTAGCACTAACCCCATGCCTGATGTACTAGCAAGATAACGCAAAACCCTCTTAGCGGCAGACCAGTGCTGAGGTCGGTGTCTGCCTGTAGCCACAAAGCGAGCCAGGATGCTGAGAGGGTATGCGAGATCTGGGCGAGTGCAAGTCATCAGGTACATGAGGCAACCCACCAGCTCTGCGTAGGGGCCACTGGGCTCTACTGGCTCCTCAGGAACGGGAGCAGAGAGCCCATGGTCTACGGGTAGAGGTGTGGGCTGTGCGGAGGAGAACTGAAGACCGAACCTCTGAAGGACCTGACGCACCAAGTGTGACTGGGTCAGAGTGATGGTGCGTGCTGCTCTGTCCCTAGAGATCTGCAGGCCAAGATAGCGACGCAGCTCTCCAAGGTCAGTGCAGGTGTGTCTCTTCAGCAGCTCAGCCTTCACAGAGGCCAGTGCGTCCCTGTCAGGAGTAGCGAAGACCAGGTCGTCTACGTAGACAAGGATGTAGAACGGAGTCTGGCCGGAACGCACAAACAGTGAAGGGTCAGCAGAGGACGGAAAGAACTGCAGGTCTGCTAACGTGGCACGTAGCGTGTCGTGCCACTCGCGGGGAGCCTGACGCAGGCCGTAGACCGGGCGCCTGAGAAGCCACTGGGTCCCAGGAGGGAAGGTACCAGTGAAGCCCTGTGGTCGGCGCAGGTAGACCTGCTCGTGTAGGCTGCCCTGAAGAAAGGCAGTAGAGAAGTCGAGGGAGTGAAGCTCGTAGTCACGCTGTGCTGCTACGTGTAGCAGCGCCCGAAGAGTGGTCATCTTCGGGGTCGGGGCGAAGGTCTGGAAGAAGTCAACCCCCTCGCGCTGACTGAAACCTCTGGCCACGTAGCGCGCCTTGAAGACAGGCGGCTCTCCAGGGGGGCGCTTCACCTTGAAGAGCCACCGACCATCGACTACGTTCACCCCAGGCGGGGGAACTGCGTCAACGTAAGTGCCAGTGGATCTCCAAGATGCCATCTCCTGCTCCATGGCAGCTATCCACTGAGAGGCCCAAGGTCCCGAGGTGGCCTCAGCGTAGGTGCGAGGGGTCGGGATGTCGAAGGCGTCTGGGTCACCCTCAGGGACTAACAGCATGGAGCAGAGATGGGGAGCAGCCTCGGAAAGGAAAGCCAGCTCGTACTGCCTGTCCTCTAGGACGTCACTGCCAAGGGCAGGAGCACCCCCGACGGACAGAGGACGGGCAGGGTCAGAGACCAGAGCGGTAGCGTAGTCAAGGCGGCGGGTAGAAGCGAAGTCAGCGACAGCAGCGACAAGCGCGTCAAGGCGCGAGACAGGAACAGCAGGGTCGGTAACAAGAGAGGCAAGGACCCGAGGGACAAGGGGACGAGCAGCACGGAGGTAGTCAGAGAACGGAGGAGGTGCAACAGCAAGGGACGAGGGAGGAGGGGACGGGAGGAGGGGAGGACGAGACGAGTGGGAACGGAGCAACATAGGGTGGGTGGGCAGGACAGGAGAGACGGGACGAGCACGGGAGGGACGGCGAGCCCAAACGTGAGACAGAGGGGTAGGGTCAGGGGACAGCGGAGGAGACACAGGAGGGGAACGAGGAGGAAGACGGGCCGGAGACGAGTCTGGCGGCGGGAACACAGGACCGTAGACAGGGAGGTCAGGAGGCGGTGGGGGAGACACCGGCGCGCGGTCCGGGGAGGGAAGGCCGAGCAGGCGGAGAGCGGAAACCGGCGGCGACGGCTGCTGCGGCGGCGACGACGGCTGGGCCGGAACTCTCGGACCAGCAGAGGCAGAACGACCGTCGGCAGAACACTCAACAGCAGCACCCCCAGAACCAACACCCCCAGAGCGAGAACCCCCTCCAACACCAGCGGCACCCCCAGAAGCCGCAGGACGAACACCCTCCTCCACACCAGCACCCCCAGGGGCCGAGAGCAGCGGCGGCAGTGGCGGCAACGGCTGCGGCGGCGGCGTCAGCGGCGACGGCTGCGGCAGCGACAGCGGCGGCGGCGGCGACGACAGCGGCGACGGCTGCGGCGGCGACGGCGACGGCGGCGGCAGCGGGGTCGGCGACTGCGACAGTGGGGGCGGAGGCACCGGGGAAGGGGGACGCGGCAAGGACGGACCGGGGGTACCACCAGAGTCAGCAGACTCCTCAACGGGGACAACCGACGGGAGGGGAGTGACGTGGGAGACACCAGACGGGGCAGGACGAGGCGGGAGAGGGGCAGGGGCTACCGGGGGAGAGGGAGCAAGGAAAAGGGGGGGGGCAACTGGGAGACCTCGGTGAGGGAAGCGGCGGTAAAAGGAGACGGACTCATCAAAGGTGACGTCACGAGAGTGGAGGAAGCGGTGAGACGGCGGGTGGTAGAAAAGCCAGTCAGACGAGTCCAGGGGGAAACCGAGGAAGACACAGGGGACAGTGCGGGCAGTGAGCTTGTCCGTGCCAGAGGCACGAACGTGAGCAAGGCAGCCCCAGACGTGGAACGCAGACGCGTCACCGGGGGACCCGGTCCAAAGGAGGGTCGGCGAAACCTGCGGCCGCTGGGAGCGTGGCCACAGGTTAAGCTGGTGAGCCGCGTAGCGAACAGCGAACGGCCACAGAAAATGGGGGGCATCGGCATGGATCATGGAGGTACGGGCGACCTCCATGACCAAGCCGATGCGGCGCTCAGCAACCCCATTCTGCTGTGGCGAGTCCGGCAACGTGTACGACTGGGTGATGCCCTCCGCACGACAGAACTGTCCAAGCCGACCAGAGGCGAACTCGCCGCCACGGTCGGAGTGGAGACACAACACGGGGAGACCGCGGTGGAGACGCGCAGCCACAACCCACGGGAGAAGAACGTCGGGCACGTCGGCCTTCCGCTCCAGGGGAAACACCGTGGTGTAGCGCGTGTAGTCGTCGACAAGCACAAGGAAGTAGCGCTCACCGCGCGGTCCGGGGACGGGGGCAGGGCCCCAAACGTCCAAGTGCAGGGTCTGAAGGGGGGGCAGTAGCAGGACGCAGCGAGGAGGAGTGAGGAGCACGGCGGAGCCGACCCTCGACGCAAGGCGTGCACGGTGGCGCAGTCGAGGGAGGAAGGGCAGGGAGCGACGTGGGGAGACCTAAGACAAGACCGTGCTGGGACATGTGACGCAGACGCGGGAGAGCAGGGTGACCTAAGCGGTGGTGCCAGAGAAGGGAGGGGTGAGTGAGGGACCGACACGAGCAAGCTGCAGCGACCTGGGAGGACGCACCAACCGGGGGGGAAGCGGTGTGTAGGGTAAACAGACCGGACACCGGGTCCCGGGGGAACGTCGCAAGGGGGGAACCTGAGACAGCCTCAGAACAGACAGCGAACCGCTCGTGCCCGGGGAACGTGGTGGTGACGCCGAGGTCCTGGAGACAGCCGACACCAACCAGGTTCCTGGAGAACGAGGGAACGTGGAGGCCAGTAAGGGAGCCCGAGGGAACTGCCGGACAGGGAAGGGACGTAGAATTGCGCGCGACGACCGGACCCGCAGAGGGGTCAGCGAGAGAGACAACAGCAGGTGCAGCAAGCGGCGTGAGCGTGGAACGGTCGCGGAAGAAGCAGGCAGAAGCACCAGAGTCGAGAGTGAAGGACAGCGACGCAGTGGCGGAGGCCGGGGACGGAGCCGGTGCAGCGACTAGACTAGGCAACCTAGGCAGTCCTACGCCTGTCGCAGCAGGGGAAGCTAAGCTACACAAGGGTGAAACACCTAAACTAGAGTACACAGGGTAGTAAGATCCATCAACACTAGAAGCGTCAGCATACAAAGCATGCAAAGCAGCACCTATCTGATCCATGTCTAACTCAAAGATCGGCATGCCCTGGCGGAGCAGGCTGTGCCAGTCAGGGAGGTCCGGGGCCGGGCCAAAGCGACGACGAAAAAGATCGTCGAGGCGGCGGAAACAGCGGGCGGTCGGGTGCGGGCGGCGGCACAGAGTGCCGCGGAGAGGCCCGGTCTGAAGCTGGTACTGGCAGGTCACAGCACTGGAGCCGCTGGTAGACGCCAAGCTGCGCGGGCCGCCACCACGGCCACCGCCTCCGGAGGTGCCGGGCCAACCAGGCGGGAGACGAGCCCACGGCTGCGGCGGGTGCTGCTGGGACGGCGGCTGCGGCTGGGGCTGGTCCTGCTGCTGCTG